GCCTTAGAAGGCGGCCAAAGGAGTACACTTAACTTGAACCCGAATACATTAACCTTGAATTTGCTTTTTTGTCAGACCTTTTCCGGTCAACTTACGCGTCCTTTTTTGGAAACTTATTTGTGCACGTTTAGTGTGAGAGTTTCTTTTTTTTGGAGGTGGGAACAGCAGGTCTTAATTGTCACTTGCCAACACCTCTTCACACATGACCACCCATTAACGGAGGGGTAGAAAGAAAATCATTACATCAGTGAAAGTTAAGTGCACACATTATCTCTCTCACCGATCTTCTTCTTACGTTCATGATGTCAACAGAACGTTCAGATTACGTCATTTGAATCATGCGCATAAGCGTTGTTGGTACAGTGAAATTTTTCCTCCGGCGCGAAGCCAGACGCTCTTTTCTTGAACAGGAACTCGCCTCCCGTGAGTAAAAGACGGAAGTTTCTTTTACGTGACTTTGCAGCTGGGTAATTGAAATTTGCATTGTATAGAACATTCGCTTACTCCCCGAATTAATTTTGTTTACGTCGAGAATATCGTCACTGTTTTTTCCTAGGACTCTTGAAATTAAAACTGAAATTTCGCCTGGAATAATTCCAAATTTTTGACGTGAACGAACAGACAGAAGGTGGTTAGCAGAGCGAGGGATTAAAAGGAAAGCCACGCAAACTCACGTACTCGACTTGCATTCACGCTCCATCTCACACTCAAGTAACGCTTACGCCTACACACACTCCATCGCGCATATACTGATATTTGGAGACGGGACATCTAAAATCCCCTTCTGGAAAGGCTCATCATCGTCCTCTTGTTTATGGGTACTGACCTGGGATATGGAACCCGTCATTCTGAAAGCCACTCTCGTAGGTTAACTGCTTCTTTATAGCGACTAACCCTATCACGAGAACCGTAAGGAAAAATCTGTGATAAGATCTCGCGAGCTCTTCGACTGTTCCAGGAGCACCGGCTACGACCGAATGTTTCCAGATACCTCAGAATTGTCTCAAATGGTTTTCTCTATGATTTTGAAGCCTGTTTGGTTAATTTGGAGCTGCCCTAAAAACTATTTATCCCTTCGTATGTTATAAGAGAACATTGTTTGTCTCGAAAGTCTTAGGTGGCTTTTTCGTTTTATCCTAAACTGTTAGCTACCCTGCAGCTGATCGGTCCGGTCGAAAGAACAAGGAAATGGAGTAGCCGTATTTTCTTTAGAAAATTCCAGGGGACATTAACCTTTGTCGGCTTTTAAACTAAGTTCTTAGGAGACCGTTGTTACCAAATCTCAATATCTTGCTAATAAAATGTGAAAAAATAGTAGGTAAGTTAGTAGAAAAAATCCGAATTACTTAGACGTCGACCATATAATGGAGCGGTTATCCAGGTAGTTGCTCTTTCGAACAGATATTTTACAGATAGAAGTCCTCGAGTGTCCCCGTTACTCTGTTTGAGAAATGAGCTCAGATCTTTAATCGATTAACTGGACTGACCAAGTTAAGTTCTAGTCTGTGCATATCATGATGAGTAGATGTTTTGATATACGCATTATTTACAATAAACAACATTTCTCTTCACTTTTAGCATCTTACGAAGATGAAAAGCCCCTATGCAATTTTCAGGAAGACCATATTGTCTGGGATCGGCATTATACGCTCAAGGTAAGCTTAAAATACAAATTAAGTGATTTGCGTAACAAATTTCCCGTTTTGGGTAAAACTGGTTCGGAATAGACTACGAGTAGTCTCCATTTTTCCTCAGGGATGATAGAGCGCGCGTGAAAATCACCCCACGCGTCTCGCCTTTCTCTCTTTCACGTGAGTTGATTTTCACGCGCGCTCGCGTTTCGCTCGCTCTACTATCCCTGAGGAAAAATGGGGACTACTCGTAGTCTAGGTTCGGAATAATTCGGGTTCTAACACCCTTCAGTTTGAAAATGAATTTACTGCACGAAATTCTAATTAGAAGAAGTATAAAATAACTCCTTATGATGTCTTTTGTAACCAGCATGAACCTCATAACAGTGTATTTCTGGGCAGATATAATAATTTGTTAATTTTTAGGGGCTGTCAAATCGCGTTACCATTGTCTCGCCCATCCAAGACAGTCTTGGATTCTGGATTCCATTTTGTGGATTCAGGATTCTAGGATCTGTATTCCGGATACTTTGTCGGTGGAACTTACACCAGTCGTTGGCGGGATTCCGGATTCCTTTGACCTGAGTTCCGGATTCCAAAGCACAAGATTCTTGTTTCTACAAACTCTCGAATCCAGATTAAATTACTTGGGGCGAATTATACACCATACATTTCTGGTAAACTACCAACCTACCCCTTCCCTAAGCCAACACTTAACACTTACTTCTCACTTAAGGCAAAATGTTGGCTTAGGGGAGGGGTAGGTGGGAATATTCCCAGAAATGTATATAATGATCCCATTATCATACCAAGTTTCATACTGTATTATCAAAGAAGTATGTCATATTCTTTGTGCACAGGATTTGTCCCGTATCGAGGTGAAGATTCAAAGCGTCGAAAGTCCAACTTCGTTGAGCGACAACTTTTTCGTTCCCATTACAGAAGACAAAGAGCGATGTCGCTCTCCAGAACTCTTATACCCACCTATTGCGAATATAGCAGAGTTTTTCGTTTGTCGATGGAAAGCGCCGCTCCTTGATCATGAGTATAAGCAAATCAATTTTTTCCATAGAATAAAAAAAGTGGCCGACAGACAAATTTTGCTTTTCTAACTCCTCAAGCTATACTTAGTCTGCAGTCAATTTATAGCGGAAAAAATTATTTATCAGCAGCCATTTCTTAATTGATGATTAAACTTCTCAAGTCTAAAAAACAGCCGCCAGCCTCTCTCTCTGTTTGTTAACTAGTTTGAATTAAATTTGCGAAAAGGCAAAGACGAAAAAAATAAAGAACAAACCTCAAACCCGACTGCAAAAAAACAACTGTGCACTTGGTAGATCAGCCTTTGCCGTCAGTGCACGACTTTTCTCCATCCAGTTCTTGGGTGCGTTTTTAAGAATTCCTCCAGGACTCACCTTTGACAAATCGAGAGATCAACAAAACTTGACAGGATGAAAATTCACTTTTCCGAACAAGCTAACTGACTGCTGCAGTCCCTCGTCTTAGTTGTCTAACATATATCAGTTGCGGATCCAGACCTTCGGATAAGGGGTAAGGGGGGGGGGAGTCTAAAAATAAGAGGGATCCCCCCCACCCCGGGCTCCTCCCCTGGATCCGCCACTGTATAAGATCAAAGTAGTCACGTTTACTAACGCCACGTGACCACCAATAAATCGAGTTACATAACAAAAACACCTGCAGCTGTATACTGGCAATATGGCGTCACCATGAACTATTTTGCCGCCAACTGTCCACATCAGAACGTCTTTGCACGTAATTGTATTTGCAATAGTGTGAAGTTTTACGCAGTAGTCTACACATTGCTCATTTCTTGCACAAACTCTCCCAGTTTCGTTACGCACGGAAAGGCAGTGAAATTCCAACTCATTTAAAACCTAAGCGGTGATATATTGCAGGGAGAAAGAAGTAAAAAAAATACAATATTCATCATTTTCCAGCTGCCTTAGAAGGCGGCCAAAGGAGTACACTTAACTTGAACCCGAATACATTAACCTTGAATTTGCTTTTTTGTCAGACCTTTTCCGGTCAACTTACGCGTCCTTTTTTGGAAACTTATTTGTGCACGTTTAGTGTGAGAGTTTCTTTTTTTTGGAGGTGGGAACAGCAGGTCTTAATTGTCACTTGCCAACACCTCTTCACACATGACCACCCATTAACAGAGGGGTAGAAAGAAAATCATTACATCAGTGAAAGTTAAGTGCACACATTATCTCTCTCACCGATCTTCTTCTTACGTTCATGATGTCAACAGAACGTTCAGATTACGTCATTTGAATCATGCGCATAAGCGTTGTTGGTACAGTGAAATTTTTCCTCCGGCGCGAAGCCAGACGCTCTTTTCTTGAACAGGAACTCGCCTCCCGTGAGTAAAAGACGGAAGTTTCTTTTACGTGACTTTGCAGCTGGGTAATTGAAATTTGCATTGTATAGAACATTCGCTTACTCCCCGAATTAATTTTGTTTACGTCGAGAATATCGTCACTGTTTTTTCCTAGGACTCTTGAAATTAAAACTGAAATTTCGCCTGGAATAATTCCAAATTTTTGACGTGAACGAACAGACAGAAGGTGGTTAGCAGAGCGAGGGATTAAAAGGAAAGCCACGCAAATTCACGTACTCGACTTGCATTCACGCTCCATCTCACACTCAAGTAACGCTTACGCCTACACACACTCCATCGCGCATATACTGATATTTGGAGACGGGACATCTAAAATCCCCTTCTGGAAAGGCTCATCATCTTCCTCTTATTCATGGGTAACCTGGAATATGGAACCGGTCATTCTGAAAGCCACTCTCGTAGGTTAACTGCTTCTTTATAGCGACTAACCCTATCACGAGAACCGTAAGGAAAAATCTGTGATAAGATCTCGCGAGCTCTTCGACTGTTCCAGGAGCACCGGCTACGACCGAATGTTTCCAGATACCTCAGAATTGTCTCAAATGGTTTTCTCTATGATTTTGAAGCCTGTTTGGTTAATTTGGAGCTGCCCTAAAAACTATTTATCCCTTCGTATGTTATAAGAGAACATTGTTTGTCTCGAAAGTCTTAGGTGGCTTTTTCGTTTTATCCTAAACTGTTAGCTACCCTGCAGCTGATCGGTCCGGTCGAAAGAACAAGGAAATGGAGTAGCCGTATTTTCTTTAGAAAATTCCAGGGGACATTAACCTTTGTCGGCTTTTAAACTAAGTTCTTAGGAGACCGTTGTTACCAAATCTCAATATCTTGCTAATAAAATGTGAAAAAATAGTAGGTAAGTTAGTAGAAAAAATCCGAATTACTTAGACGTCGACCATATAATGGAGCGGTTATCCAGGTATTTGCTCTTTCGAACAGATATTTTACAGATAGAAGTCCTCGAGTGTCCCCGTTACTGCGTTTGAGAAATGAGCTCAGATCTTTAATCGATTAACTGGACTGACCAAGTTAAGTTCTAGTCTGTGCATATCATGATGAGTAGATGTTTTGATATACGCATTATTTACAATAAACAACATTTCTCTTCACTTTTAGCATCTTACGAAGATGAAAAGCCCCTATGCAATTTTCAGGAAGACCATATTGTCTGGGATCGGCATTATACGCTCAAGGTAAGCTTAAAATACAAATTAAGTGATTTGCGTAACAAATTTCCCGTTTTGGGTAAAACTGGTTCGGAATAGACTACGAGTAGTCTCCATTTTTCCTCAGGGATGATAGAGCGCGCGTGAAAATCACCCCACGCGTCTCGCCTTTCTCTCTTTCACGTGAGTTGATTTTCACGCGCGCTCGCGTTTCGCTCGCTCTACTATCCCTGAGGAAAAATGGGGACTACTCGTAGTCTAGGTTCGGAATAATTCGGGTTCTAACACCCTTCAGTTTGAAAATGAATTTACTGCACGAAATTCTAATTAGAAGAAGTATAAAATAACTCCTTATGATGTCTTTTGTAACCAGCATGAACCTCATAACAGTGTATTTCTGGGCAGATATAATAATTTGTTAATTTTTAGGGGCTGTCAAATCGCGTTACCATTGTCTCGCCCATCCAAGACAGTCTTGGATTCTGGATTCCATTTTGTGGATTCAGGATTCTAGGATCTGTATTCCGGATACTTTGTCGGTGGAACTTACACCAGTCGTTGGCGGGATTCCGGATTCCTTTGACCTGAGTTCCGGATTCCAAAGCACAAGATTCTTGTTTCTACAAACTCTCGAATCCAGATTAAATTACTTGGGGCGAATTATACACCATACATTTCTGGTAAACTACCAACCTACCCCTTCCCTAAGCCAACACTTAACACTTACTTCTCACTTAAGGCAAAATGTTGGCTTAGGGGAGGGGTAGGTGGGAATATTCCCAGAAATGTATATAATGATCCCATTATCATACCAAGTTTCATACTGTATTATCAAAGAAGTATGTCATATTCTTTGTGCACAGGATTTGTCCCGTATCGAGGTGAAGATTCAAAGCGTCGAAAGTCCAACTTCGTTGAGCGACAACTTTTTCGTTCCCATTACAGAAGACAAAGAGCGATGTCGCTCTCCAGAACTCTTATACCCACCTATTGCGAATATAGCAGAGGTATTTAACGTATTTGTTACTACGCTGTACAGTACTTTGAACCGCGGCAGGATTAGCTCAGTACAAGTGAGAAAATGAGACATAGAGGGAATCTTAGGGCGTTGGCCAGAATATGTGAATTTCCTTAAGTCATACTTAGAGGTTGTAAGCAAACGAGCAAAAAAATAAGCAAGTCTATTTACTTGGATGTGCGCAGATTTAAATCGATGGTTTTAAATATCATCAAGTCCTTTGACTAGCTCAAAGCGAAAAATACAGAATATTATTATGGCGACTCGGTTGAATTCTTGAACTGGCAATGAATGAAAATTTGCGAAACTCCCCGGAAATCAACTTGCGATTAATCTAAGCGTTCATTGGCCTAAAAATAACTTTGGTGAAATTTGCATACCCAAGAGCTAGACTACGAGTGGTCCCCATTTTTCCTCAGGGATAGTGGAGCGAGCGAAACGCGAGCGTGCGTGAAAATCAACACACGCGAGAAAGGCGAGACGCGGCGGTGAGAGAGAAAAATGCAGGACTACAGACAAAGCCCAAGCTTTTGACCTTATGCGTTGCTCTCATATTTTTCTCTCTCACCGCCGCGTCTCGCTTTTCTCTCGTGGGTTGATTTTCACGCGCGCTCGCGTTCGCTCGCTTCTACTATCCCTGAGGAAAAATTGGGACTACTCGTAGTCTACCCAAGGGCTGGACTGAGCGTCTCCCTCTCTGACCTATTGACCTATCATTCTCTTTTGTTAGAGCGCCAACCTCGTTCTCAGGGTCCTCTCCTACTCATTCCTCGGAGCGAGAGGACCCTGGGAACGAAGGTGGGAATAGCGCTTGACTGCAGAGCGGGACGTCATGGGTTCGATTCAGGGCGGATAAACATGTATCCGTCCTCGTTCGTTTCCCGGGGCTGGACCAATACCAGGGTCTTAAAATAACCGGGAAATGAAGGTACTTCCTTTGCCCTGCAAATGGCTAGACCTTCGCGTGGCTCGGATGACTACGAAAAATGGCAGTTCCGTCTCCTGAAGGAGACGTGAAAGTAGTGTCCACAATGAATACTTTCTTGCATGATACATTGATACTTTAATCAAGTACCTTTGCTTTGTAAGCCAGATTACCTTCACATTCGTCCGCCCGAAAACGGTCCGTAAAAGGTTTTGTAGCGTGCATGCAAAACCGAACTGAACTACATTACGACGCGAAACTGTCATGTTCGAGAGGTTCCGGTGCAGTATCAAATCAACGGTTGGACTAATGTACCTATAGGAATAATTACAGTATTAACGAACAATTTAAGTAGCAACAAAAAATTACATTTTTTGTTTTGCTTTCTTACCACAGACAAAGGAAAGATTGCCTTCACCGTGCGACTCCGGTAGATCTTCGCCAATCTTCGTTTCGGGATACGAAGCCGAGCGACAACGAAACGACATTAAGCAGTTTGGACGAGAAGCAGCTTGTAAGCTAGCTGAAAGACGAGCGGAGTATGCAAAAAGAAGAATGGAACAAGTGCAAGAGGAGAGTGTGATAATCGAGGTAATAATTGCGTTAAAATTAAATCTCAACTAACAATGAACTATATACAGGGCCAAAATTCAATTTTACCTTGTTTCCAGGGTTATAATCGAAACTGTCACAAATAGTATGCGCATGCCACAAGGAAAAATAAAAAGCTACAAACTCCATCGACTTTACTTTTTTACGCAACAACGAGTTTCTACTTTGTATAACACTCAGTTATACACCGCATCTCTCATTTTTGTTCATAAAATCACTGTAAAATGTCAAAGACGAGAGGCAGGAGAAGCTAACTAAACCGTAGCCGGGCTCAATTCCCAGCTCGCGCTGTTCCTGGTGGGGTATTCTGTAGTTACGACAAGACAGGTTTTCTGGTTTAGAGAACAGGCGTTAAACGATATTCTTTTTTTGTCCAATACTTTAGCGCAACATAGAGGAAGCCATCATCAACAAACTAGAACTACTTAAAGTGGCCGACGAATTAGAAAAGCAAAGGGAATTCTTCAAAGGCCGAAAAGCTAAATTATGGCGGCGATGTGCAAACATGGCGGAAATCTTGGCCAAAGAAGAAACAGAAGCAGCATTATGGCAGCAAAGATATAAGAAAGCTATGATGGTTGCGCCAGGGAACATGGCATTTTTCTGAACAGCATACATTCATGTTGCTAAAGCCATGCGCAGTGTCGTCACAGCACGACAGCCTCGTTCTGGAATCAAGGTTGATAGAACCGAACCAGAGAAATGCCCCGTCAGCTCAAGGAAGTCGAGCACAATGCATTGTCAAGTTTGTATTGAAATTTGAAAAAAAAGGAACATTGCAAACTATACTGAGGAACTTAATACCAAAGAGAAAGGCTTAAAACAGATTTCCGACAAAATCAATAGAGGCTTCAATAACCGATCAAGACAATGATTAATACCGAAAACAACGTCCATTACACAAGATGAGAAAATGAGACATAGAGGGAATCTTAGGGCGTTGGCCAGAATATGTGAATTTCCTTAAGTCATACTTAGAGGTTGTAAGCAAACGAGCAAAAAAATAAGCAAGTCTATTTACTTGGATGTGCGCAGATTTAAATCGATGGTTTTAAATATCATCAAGTCCTTTGACTAGCTCAAAGCGAAAAATACAGAATATTATTATGGCGACTCGGTTGAATTCTTGAACTGGCAATGAATGAAAATTTGCGAAACTCCCCGGAAATCAACTTGCGATTAATCTAAGCGTTCATTGGCCTAAAAATAACTTTGGTGAAATTTGCATACCCAAGAGCTAGACTACGAGTGGTCCCCATTTTTCCTCAGGGATAGTGGAGCGAGCGAAACGCGGGCGTGCGTGAAAATCAACACACGCGAGAAAGGCGAGACGCGGCGGTGAGAGAGAAAAATGCAGGACTACAGACAAAGCCCAAGCTTTTGACCTTATGCGTTGCTCTCATATTTTTCTCTCTCACCGCCGCGTCTCGCTTTTCTCTCGTGGGTTGATTTTCACGCGCGCTCGCGTTCGCTCGCTTCTACTATCCCTGAGGAAAAATTGGGACTACTCGTAGTCTACCCAAGGGCTGGACTGAGCGTCTCCCTCTCTGACCTATTGACCTATCATTCTCTTTTGTTAGAGCGCCAACCTCGTTCTCAGGGTCCTCTCCTACTCATTCCTCGGAGCGAGAGGACCCTGGGAACGAAGGTGGGAATAGCGCTTGACTGCAGAGCGGGACGTCATGGGTTCGATTCAGGGCGGATAAACATGTATCCGTCCTCGTTCGTTTCCCGGGGCTGGACCAATACCAGGGTCTTAAAATAACCGGGAAATGAAGGTACTTCCTTTGCCCTGCAAATGGCTAGACCTTCGCGTGGCTCGGATGACTACGAAAAATGGCAGTTCCGTCTCCTGAAGGAGACGTGAAAGTAGTGTCCACAATGAATACTTTCTTGCATGATACATTGATACTTTAATCAAGTACCTTTGCTTTGTAAGCCAGATTACCTTCACATTCGTCCGCCCGAAAACGGTCCGTAAAAGGTTTTGTAGCGTGCATGCAAAACCGAACTGAACTACATTACGACGCGAAACTGTCATGTTCGAGAGGTTCCGGTGCAGTATCAAATCAACGGTTGGACTAATGTACCTATAGGAATAATTACAGTATTAACGAACAATTTAAGTAGCAACAAAAAATTACATTTTTTGTTTTGCTTTCTTACCACAGACAAAGGAAAGATTGCCTTCACCGTGCGACTCCGGTAGATCTTCGCCAATCTTCGTTT